TCTTGTAATGTGACTATCCTTGCTGAACAGTATATCTGTTGCTAATTTTTTCACTGTTGTTGGAATAATAGGCTAATCTGTCATTATAAATTTCTGAATGTGTGTAGCCTTATGTTAAATTTGCATTCTGATTATTTATTGTAAAATGTTTTTAATTACTTTGTCAGGATGTATTTACCAGCTCTCTTTCTAAAATTTTTTTATTTTTTTTTTTAAATAGGTACCAGAGGGTGGTACTGGAGACACAGGACGAGAAAGAACTAAGACATTTACCTATGATTTTTCCTATTTCTCAGCAGACAGTAAAAGTCCCAGCTTTGTTTGTCAAGAAATGGTAGGATTTCTGAATGTTAATAATTGATTTTTCTTTTCCCTTTTCTCTGGCTTGAAAGCATTCTTTGAAACTTCTTTCCATTGTAAGTGCTTCTTGTGTAATTTAGAAATTCCCAAGATACCTGAGAATTTGAATTTTGTTTTGTTTTTTTTTTTTAAACTTATCTAACATTGTTAAGTGCTGTGTTTTCTAATACAGTAGGCTAAATGCCTTCTTTCTAGTTCTCTTGTCTGATTTGTAAGGTCAAGTTAGAAAACTTCTTGGAGCATTAAAATTTGTTTTTGAAAAGCTTTTTTGAAAAAAAATCACTTTTGAGAAGCAAGCGTATGTCTTTAATTCACTTAGAAACATTCTTCTCTTCTAGTTGAAGTGTTATGGTTTTTTTTTTGTTGGTTTTTTTTGTTGGTTTTTTTTTTGAAAAGTCTTGGTACACATTGAAGAAGATTCTTCTTTCTCCTCTCTTGAGTATTCAGCTTAGGAAAGGACAAAACCACCTTTCTTCCTGCACACTCAGAAAATCAAATTCAGAGCTATAGGCATTATTTAGATGAACAGATAGGCCCTCCCTGACCTCACATTTCATGTGAATGTCGAACCTTTTTTGCTATTCCACATTCTCAAATAAATTTACTAAGTAAAATTCAAGTGCTTTGTGATTGTGATCTTCTCTTTTGGTTTTGTGGAACTTGGGATGCTGTAAGCTCAATCTTTCCCCTTAAAATAGCACAAGGGTTTGCTGAATATACTGTAAGCCAGTTGGATACATACCTTTTTGGTATGTAATCATCTATTCGGTAACCCCCAAATCAGGGATATTGGTAAGGCTAATCCTAAAAAACCTCACAATTGAAACTCATAAGAAGAAACAGTAAGTTGAAGCCAATTTTAAATATTTATGAGAAGGACAAGCTTTGCCATTATATATAATGACTATAATTGTTTGATAGGGAATTTATACTTGAAATTTCTATCTAAGCATCAGTCTAAGTGGTAGGCCCTCTTTTTTTCTGAAAGCTTCTTTCTTCATTTCACTGAGTTATTAGTCAGTTTTTAGTCCAAACATTTGATCATGTTTATTCTTTAAACTTTCTGGATTGTTATTTCTTGATGATGTTCTTTTAAGTAACACTGTTTTTTGCTATATTCTCTGAAATATCGAGAAGTATACATTTATTTGGGTGTCGATGTAGAAATACCCTAATTACTTCAGCACTGTGTCAAATTCAAGCAGTAGTGTATTTGAGCGCAATGATTGGAACCCAAGTTTCTAGCAGGTTTTTTTAAGCAGGTGGTTCAGGCCATATGACTTTACTAGAACTTCAAGCAAATGCTTTAAGTTGAGCATGCAGAGAGCTAGTTATTTATTTTAATTCAAGCAGCTTTGATCACGTATTTTTCTGCTCTGATGCTAACTGAAACTCGAGATTTTTAGTTGTGGTTCTGCAGACACAACAAATAATTGCCTTATTTTTGCTTATAGAAATTGATTAGGGCCTCAGTTTAATATTACTTAGTTTCATGAAAATGCATATAATTTCCAGTGATAACTGATTACCATATTCTCAGTTCTTCTTAATAGAGATGAGTACATCTCCATAAAACCGTATTAATGATGTGTCAATGCATATGTGGAAAAGTCTGCATTATGTACTATAAAAGTAGTTACAGAAATTCTTCTTAAGCACCAATTGTGTCTTAGGTTCATGGATATTTAATTCTTGGATCCTGTAGGTAGCTGTTTCTTTACCTTTTGATACTTCCGGAAAGCTATGTTAGACAAGACCTCATTGGAAGAATCCCAGGAAGAAGGTCCATTGTGGTGTTAGACTGTTACTGTTACAATGCAGGTTTTCTCCAGAATCTGAATGTACTGTGAAATAATGAAGTTAATTGTTGTTAAAACAACCATTTGCAAAGGCAACTTGAATAGTATAAATGGATATTCAAGCTGTATCCTCTGTTGATGTCCAATTTCCTTATGTAAGTGATAAATTAAGTTTTCCTTATAATAAGTTTTTCCTTATTGGTACCATTTTGCCTCAGTTTGAACGGATCAGGTTGAGACAAGACTGGTATAACTTGCCCGCATCAGGAGCTTACAGACAAAATTAAAATGCCCATGTAGGGATTGGTGCAGCAGCCTCGAGCAGTGGGTTTTTTCAAGCTGTGAGCTTTATGGTTCATAGTAATAGGATGCTAACAATAAATCCTAAACGTGGCTTAGGTGTCCATGTTCAATATTCTGCTATTACAGCGTGTCCGCTGCGTCCTTCATCCTTATTAGCAAGAATGCTAACTTTTCGTGCTCAGCTATAAAAATATCATTGTCCCTGTGTCAAGTGTTGTTTTAATCACAATGTGTGCAGCACATTGAAAACAAAAGGAGTTTTCAAATCATGGGAGTGCAATTTCTAAACAAATGCTGTGCAAGCTATTGTTTTGCTTGTGTTATTCATTTCATATTTAATTGGAAGAATTTGTGGTTAAGCTCTTATCAAGTTGCTGCAGAATTTCCAGTTTACTGCACCAGTGACATAGGAAAAGGGCGTGTGTCTTTCACATTCATCTTGCTGTGGAATAAAATTGATCTTGATTGTCTGTAATGCGGTTGCCTAGCATGCTTTGTTCATGATTGTTATATTTTTCCTTTTTGAAAGGCAGAAAAATAATAAATGGAAGTGTGTTTAATTCTATGCGCCCCATTAATATGCCTTGTAGATGCAAAATATGCTTTAATATTAAAAAATTAGAGTGGGAGTGGCAATTTACCATCCAGCTACTTAGCTTGCATTCATAGAAGAGAAACAAATAGAATTTTGATGCGTTTACTGCCCTTTTGTGATAAACCAGTGTCCTAGTCATTTGCTTCTGACAAAAGTCCCATCGCAACGATGCTTTTTCTTCTAACCTATGTGTTAAGCCTCTGTGTTCAGACAACGCTGACTGTAACTGTCTATGTACTACCTCAGATCACTTTGTAAGACATACTCAAATTTTTAAAAGGGAAAATTCAGTCAGAACAGTAGTGCATAAAGACTTGGTCCAGATGGTAGGGTAAAAACTTGGACATAGGGAAAGGGAAAAGAGGGGAAAAAATAAAGGAGCAGTTACTCAGGAGGGAGAAATCAACTAAGATGCTCCTTGACAAGTGAAAGGGAAATTTTGCTTTGCCTGATCTTTATACTCTTCCTCTTTGAGAGGTATAACAGATTACAGCATTGTAACTCCTTTGCTCAAGGGAAGGTCAAGTTAAGTATTCCATAGGCGTGCTTGCCAACTGACAATTAATGATTAAAGAAACTACCCAACACTCCTCTGAGGGAGGAGTAGCATGATTATACTGTGTGTGTGCTATTCGCTATTAATAATGACTTGTACACCTTGCTTAATTTAAACCGCACATACTGCAGACAAGTAGCCAAATTATGTGAAACATCTATGAGGTTTTTGAAAATCATGTGTGGATCGGGAGACCCAGGTTAATATTTTTATTGAGAGAAATGTTGCACCAAGTGTTGCTCATTGCTCAGTGGGCCAGTGCAGGTATGGATGGAAATGAGGGGTAATGATAATGAAAGGTCAGGGATCTGGGAGGGATGCTGGAGCCAGCATTGCAGAGGAACGTGGTGAAGGCATCTGGTGAGAGCCAAAGTTATTAGGTGAGAACAGTCTCCCATTTTACGGGGTGCGGAGGACGGATCGTTATGAGTTTGTAAATGTTGAGGGCAAAAGAGAAGGGGCTAGCTGATGAAAGAGGGTCACTTACCATATAGAAAACATGTTTCCATATTTGCCAGCCTAAAACGTAATGGTATGTAAAAGCCAGTTAGGGAGGAAATAGGGAGAAAATAATGGGCTGTTTTCTTACTCTTGGTTAAAGCGAAAAAACAAAGCCAGCCAACCAAAACCCTCCAAAAACACAAACCAAGAAACTGAGAGGATCACTGAAACATTTGATTTTGAGGAGGGGCTGGATGTTTGCACAACATGGAGAGTAGGCAAAGGTACAAAAAGTGAGTATATACTAACAATAAGGAAAAGTGAATGAAGTATCTCAGATCAGCTGAAAGAAATTGGAGCTATCGAAGGGAGGGAGTGGTTTTTGTACTTCTACATGTCAAGTAGATCTCTGACAGAAAAAGAAGTAGAAAATACACTGTTGCAGTGCCGTAAATGAAATACGGTAGTAAAATTTAGTATTTTCTTTGAAGTACTAATGTCCTGTCCTGTAGTAAGCATCATTGATTGATGCCAAAAGCTTATATCGTGGTAGTATATTGTTTAGTATTTGCCTTGCTGGACTGATGACAACTTTTTTCCCCAAGCCTCTGTTGTCTTAAAAAACTTTCTTTGTTTTTAGGTTTTCAAAAATCTTGGTACAGACGTGCTTAAATCTGCTTTTGAAGGTTATAATGCTTGTGTGTTTGCATATGGACAGACTGGGTCTGGGAAGTCCTATACCATGATGGGAGATGCGGTATGTTGTGTTTTGCGAATTTGTGTTTTTATTCTGTAGCAATGCATTGACATTATGCTATTGCAAGAACATGTTTTTGTGGAATTATTATTGCTGATCCTGTCTCTATGCTACTGACCCTCCATTAATCGTACCTTCTAGTAGTAATCAGAGGTTTTAGAAGCTGTTTCTTTTATAGATAGGTATTTACAGTTGGAAGAAGTGTCTTTGAGTGATAGTCTGTTATGCTGGACAAAAAGCAATAATTTTTGTTCAATAACAAACCCAATAATCTCAAATGTTACCACTGATTTTCTGTGCTCAGCAGAAAGAACCCACTAAACTGTTGGGAGTGGGCTGACTGATGAAGTCTGTTTGCAAGACAACCTCTACAGGTTTCCTTCTGCTTTACGCCTTGGGGAAAAAAAATACAGCATGTCTTCTCCCAGCAAAATTGAAAATGGGGAGTATTGCCACTTGTACTCCCTTAGGTAGATCGTTCTTTTGAAATGTGGTAAGATTGGCCACATTGCACCTCCTTTAGCTTAGGAGAGTAAATTAGCTGTAAATCTTTTTCTTTCAGTTGTCACAGAATAAGTAGCTTTATATTTAACTTCAGTATGGTAAGCAGAATAGACTTTTGTAACCAGAAAAGATCTTATGACCTAGATGTGGATTTCTATTTCAGAAATTTATAAAAGTGACGTTTTTATGAGACTGCCTCACTATATGTAATGACCGTAATCATCAAGACATTTTGCAAATGAATAGGTGCTGAAGTTTGTTTGACACTATTCAATAATAAAGGTCTAATCTTCTTGCCATGATACATAAATACTTTAATCTGGCTTTGTACAGAGCATGTATAAAATATACTTGGCCGCCAAGTTAAATGCTTGAAAATTGATGGCCCTGTCAGAGAGACTACAGTGCTATAAGAAAACTTGAATTGGAAATAAATTTTCTTTTTTCCTTACTTCTCCTTAAAAAGTATGAATTCTTTTCTCATTTTGCTTTCAATATCTGCTGTTCTTGGCTCTGGAAGGCTTCTTCTGCAATACTGTGTGCAGCAATCATTTCAAGAAATATGTGGACCAGTTAGAATAAAGTCTTGAGCAGAGATACTGAAATGATCAGAGATCTATAAAACATGATCTATCAGGAAAGTCAGAGTTGCATATGCAGAGAAAGGAAGAGTGTGGAGGAACAAAAGTCTTTCAAGATGTGAAAGGCTGCTCAGAAAGGGAGGGAATAATTTATTCCCTATGTCCAAGGTAGATGGGTAAGAAACAGCGCATTTAATTTGCAATAAGGAGTTTTCTGGTTAGATAGCACGGAAGGAAAACAGACTTCTAATGAGAAAATTCAGCTCTGGAGTGAACTGCCTATTTTGATCCTACAGATTTTCATGACTGGAAACTCTGTAACCCAGAAAAAAGCCCTGTCAAAGCTGTAGTTGATCCTGCCTCGGAGCTGTAGGGAGTGAAGAGGGAGGAAATATTTAAATGTAGTTTCTAGTAAAGAGTGTACATTCTGTAAGATGTATATTTTACTGATGAAATATGCTGGGAACTGCGTGTTCTTCCTTTCTCATCACTATATTGCTATGGTTGAAGTTACTCAATTAGAGCTAATATTTCCCGTTTTAAGACTCTCTGTGCAGTTGCTAAATTATGTCAGACACTAATGACTTGCCTAAAACTTTGTGATGGATCTTTCATGTTTTTTTCTTTAAGCTTTAATTAAAACTGTTCAGGTGTTTCCAAGCATGAGATGAAAGAAAAGTCTTATTCCTCTTCCTGTGTTTAAAAAAAAAAAAAGGAAAAAAAAAGTAATAAAAGTATAGGGGAAGTTCCAACACCGAACCCTGAAACTTTATCTGGAGTAGAGATTGATACATATTGGGAAAGATTGCTCCTTTGTTACCAAAGGCAACTGACTCAAAAAAAAAAAAAAAAAAAAAAAAAAGCGCACCCTATTAAGCTGCAAGTGTCTCCTTTTATCTAGGGGTTGTTTTGTTTTGTTTTTAAACCAAGGTGCAGTCAGGTGAAGGGCTAGGTATGATTGAAGGAGAGAATAGATTATTATTATTTCAAAGAATGAAGCCTGGTTTGAGAAGGACAGAGAGGCTGTGATTAAGAGGAGGAGGAAGCTGGAAGAAGGCAAAATGGAAGGACAGAGTATGATTTTAAAAAAAGAGACTGGATATGAATCAGGAATTATATCTCGGCAAAGGAAGAAGGAAGAGGAGCTCAGAGGTGGCACCTGGAAGAAGACTGCTGGGACAGAGAATGCAGTGGGAAGCTGAAGAATGAGGACAGAGTGGACCAGCACAGGAGCAGACTGGAGTGGGCTTGGGCAAAAAGGGTCAGATTTTATGTAGGGGAAGAGAAATCTTTGCCTGTGGAGCACTTGCCCTGCCATAGTCTGGTGCAGGGTAGTCCACTGTCTTTGTGTTTTCCTGTTGTCAGGTATCTGTAGAATCCCACCAAGCAAACTCACTTGGGTGCCTGGAGTGCCTGGGCTATGCTCACGTTCGATTTTCAGTCTGGTTTGTCCTAAGTTGCCTCCTGCTTAATTACAAGCCCCTAACTCTAAGCAAGAACATTTCTTGCCTCAGCGGTGCGTAGAATTAGAATTAGTCCATTGCATCAAATCTCTTACGCATTTTTGGAGTGGAGGCAAATTGTAGCTGACAGCCTGTTTTGTAAGCTACTTCAGAGTTTGCAGCTCTGAGCCCAAAGCCCATCTGTATGTATGTGTCCTCTCCCTGTATTCCTGGGAGCCACGTTCACTCAGCTCTGAAGGAGTGTTGGCTGCTGTCTGCCTGAAGTGGTGGGGAGGAGGTGTGCTCAGCAGGTAGCTGGTCATCTACCTAACCAGGCTCGGTGGGAATGGGGCAGCTGGGAGCAAGCAGCCCCTTGTCAGCTGAGGCCAGAGCTGCATGGCACTCTCCTGCTCCTCTCTGCTGCTGGGTAACACCCTGGCTTCGACTCACTGCCTCGCTGGAAAGGGTTCTCCCTGGAGCAATGGGAAGAGAAGAGCTGCATGCTCTTGATATCTCTTGATATCTCAGTGGTGGTAGCTGCTGCCTCACAGTCTGCCACGTGTTTGACATCAGTGGTGAAGCAGCAGCCTCACACGGATGAGGCTCAATTCTCAAGTGCCAGCTTAACTGAGAAGATGACATCCTGCTGCTGCTGGCTGCTGTGTTAGCTGAAGTGACGAGGACCCCGTAATGGATAGTTGCAGCCCTGCTAGCAAACCGTGTACTCTGTTGGGATCTGTGAGAAGGAATATGTTTTTCCAGTTTGCTTTATTAAAACACAGAGCACTTTATGCATAAAAACTCTTGAACTGTGGAGTTGAGCATTCAGAAGTTAAATATCAAATTTAATTTGGCTGCATTGTGGGACACAGTGAATGTAGTTTTAATTTTGTTATTGCTTGCTAATTTATCCAGAGGATGAGCTGCATCTTTCAAGACAGGAAGAACTATGAGCTGGGGATTGGGGGTTTGAATGAGAGTGGCTCATGGATGTATTTATATGGCTCTTGCCCCATTCTCTACAGATGTTATCAAGTTCATAGTGAAATGATATAGAAGTTGTTAGAAAAGATAGTGTTGACGTAAGGCAGTTCATATTTGCTCTGAGGAGCCAGTTTCTGCCTTAAGCAGTTGAGATTATTCGAACTAAATGAGAGGGGCAAAATATATCCCAGTAGCAAAGAATTGGAGCTAGTACATACGTTCCAACACACAGGAGGATTACAGTGGCAAGGTGACTGCAGCTAAATAAAGGGCAAGGAAGTATTTGCTGAAAAGTGTTGATTTTTTCCCCCCTTTTTCTGGATGTTGGAGCTTTCAACTGGTGATCTTGGGTTTTATTTTCAAAATATATTGTGCATGCATATTTAGCCTTGGAAATAAGAATTGTTGTTATTGCAGGGTGATGCAGGTTTAATACCTCGAATTTGTGAAGGATTATTCAGCAAAATAAGTGAAAAAACAAAGCGCAATGAGGCATCCTTTCGAACAGAAGTCAGGTAGGTCTGCTGGTTATCAAACTTGTTTCAGTTACAACCACCCTGTTTCACTTCATCTCTGAGAAAAGTGCGTGTTTTTCAGACAGCTTGCCATGCTTGGTCTCAGTCCTATAATTGATTATTATTTTTTTTTGTTGGCAGTTGTAGTCAAAATGCACAATTCTTCCAACTTCAGTCCAACAGCTGTGCATTTTGCTTTATTTAAATAAAAGTGAAAATGCCTTTTGCTACTGGACAGCGTCTTCCTTATTTTTGCCCTTTATTTCAGGCCAACACTAGGAGACCCTGATCTTGCGAATGTCTGCGTCCTTTTTACTTGCTTCTTGCTTTTTTTGGCTTTTTGCCTCATGATAGAAGTATGCTGTAGTCATTATTATCTTAGGTCAACTTTGGATCCATTTGCTTCTCCATCTTGCTTTCAAACACAGTGTGAACATGGCTTTCCTTTTTTTAAAGACTTTTGAATCAGTCATTGATTTTCTAATCTTATTCTTTCAGTTATTTGGAAATTTATAACGAACGTGTGAGAGATCTTCTCAGACGGAAGTCATCAAAAACTAATAATTTACGAATACGAGAACATCCAAAAGAAGGGCCTTACGTTGAGGGTAAAAACACTTCCAGTGTTTTGCACTGGATATTTTATTACCTTCTAAAATGTCATGTCTAATTGCATAGGGCATTTTTATCTTTTAAAATATAAATGATGATGGATACAGTGCTTTCCTTTGATAGAAAAGCATTAAAGAAGAATAGCCTCTTGTTTTGTATCCCCACTCGCTTTCCCAATTCTGAGTTTATTATACATATACAGGTTTTATTTGTAAATTTATAACACATTTTTAAATAACGTTAACAGATGCAATTGATTTTAAGAATTTGTTGACCATAATTTAGAAGTCCTTAATGTTTAGATGGAAAGAACCTATTGGGATCCAATTGTTTTAATCTGTCCTCTGCCACGGAAGGCTCATATCTCTTGAGGGATTATGCTTATGTTATTGCACTAAATACTTTGGTAAAATTGCACGTTTTCTTCTTATCTTACTGTAAATGTGTAAGTTCTCCATTGTTCACATGAGGCCTCATTCCTTTCCTTAAGCGATAAACAAGTATGACAATAAACACTAATTGCAGCAATACTTCGCAGTAGTGAGGGTAATTTGAATCTTTTTGTAAAGAAAATCAAGTGCATGTATGAGCATACTGTAATGCTCTGCTTTTCTTTAGATTTGTCTAAACATTTAGTGCAAAATTACGCTGATGTAGAGGAACTTATGGAAGCAGGAAATATAAATAGAACGACGGCTGCAACTGGAATGAATGATGTCAGTAGCAGGTCGCATGCCATTTTCACGATCAACTTCACTCAGGTAACAAAACAAAACCCTTGTCTTACTACGTGTTTACATTCAATAATTCCTGTGATAATTAAATAATGAGGTTGTCAAATAAGCAAGTATGGGTAGATAATGACTATGTTGTTGTCTTGTGATAGGGAAAGTTAAGAGTGCGAAACTACTGTTTTGAGAATTATGTTTATCAGTGATTACAATAATTAAAATTTACAGTGTAATGTGATGAATTAAAATGATATTTAATAGATTTTGAGGATATAATTATTGGGAGTTCAGGCTGAATAACAGTGACCAGTGCCGGTGTGCTTCAAGATGCTGCTGTGACAGGGGGAGTGGGTGAGGAGCACATTGTGTGACTTCAGCCAGAGCTGAACATGGGCTACCTTATACGCTCTGATGTTTTCCAAGGTGTACAAAACACCCTGTCTCCATGGCCCCAGTGGTAGACTATAGAAATGTTTTTCTGAGTGTTTTCTTGCTGACTCATCATCTGTTACTATTGGAAACCTATTTATATTCCTTGATTTACTGAGGGAATAATAGAGAGATTTAACAGAGCATAGAGATCTCTTTGTTTATACATAGTAAACTCTTTTTCAACTGACTCCTGCTCTTTGTCGTCGTTTTTGGGGGGGCTTTTTAGACACTCCATGGATAACCTGGTAGAAGAAGAAAAGGCAGCAGAGAGGTGGTTTGCTCTCCTGACAGAACTTTGCATGCCTCCTCCCAAAAACACACACACACACACGCAAAATCCCATGCACCAGCTGTTCACTACTGATGGACTGCTCATTGCAAGGCTTTCAGAAGAGGGTGAGAGGCAGGCAGCAGGTTTTGCTCTACTGTTTTACTGTGAAAGTAAAAAAGAAGTTTGAAACAGGGCAATCTGACACAGGAATTAAAATAAAAATTGGAAGGAAACCTCGGTTAAAATTGTGGAATAAAATTGTGTTTGCTACTTAATTGAACTTGGAAGCACAGGGAAAAATTGAGTGTAAATATGTCTGGGTATGTGATAACTTTAAATGTTGAAAACTTAATAAAACAAATGCAGCACATGTTCACTGTGCATCATGTAAATACCAATTCACATTAGTCAGTGCATCTGCATAAATGGCTAGAAATTTGCAAGTGCTACAATTTAAAGAAGTGCCTGCATGGGAGTTATGCAGCAGTTCATGATCAAATGCCTTTCTGTGGCACCACTACTACACCTGTCTTCTGAAGCTCTGCTATTGTAAACAAGTTAAATTCAATCATGACATGAAAAAGACCACTGAATTGGATTCAGTAAAATTTCAGAATTTTGTAGCCTAACACACTTTTCTTTGTATTTTTTTTTCCCTGTAGGCTAAATTTGATTCTGAAATGCCTTGTGAGACTGTTAGCAAGATTCATTTGGTAGATCTTGCTGGAAGTGAGAGAGCAGATGCCACTGGTGCCACAGGGGTTAGATTAAAGGAAGGAGGGAATATTAACAAATCTCTTGTTACTCTGGGAAATGTCATTTCTGCCTTAGGTAAGTCTCTGGGTTTTGTGCTTGTCTTTTTTTTTTTTTTTTTAAACATTAAATACCTTTCTGTTTGTTTATTTACACTTCTGCTCATTTTTACTTACACAAATAGTGGCTTAACACTTACTGTTTTTGAAAATGAATGAAAATACGTAACTGCTATTTTTGTTTTCTACCTTCACATCACAGCTGATTTATCTCAGGATGCAACAAATCCTCTTTCAAAGAAGAAACAAGTGTTTGTGCCTTACAGGGACTCTGTGTTGACTTGGCTGTTAAAAGATAGCCTAGGAGGAAACTCTAAAACTATAATGATTGCCAGTAAGTGTTTTTAAATTACTTTTTTGCATCCTTAACAGTTCATGCTTAATAGGAGTGGCTGTAAATAGTTAGATTCCAGATGCTTTGTTAAGGCAGAACATTGTTTACACGTATTAATGATTTCTTTCTTTCTGAGTTTTCTAGTAACGCTGTGCCTCTACCTACACTCTGCAGAACATCTCTTCCAACAGTAGAAATATATGGGGTCTCATTGTGTATATGGGGACAGTCTAGTTGTTTAGTGATGTCATGAACGATAGCAGGAATTAGACAGCTTCATTTTCTTATGCAGTTCATCTGTTTGGGTGCACGTATTGCTGGCTGAGTATTTGGTCACAAATATTAACAAAGGCATCCGGATTGTGTATGTACAGTCGTTAGACTTTTGTTTGCATAAGTAAGGATCATCCAAATGTATGTGCCTAGTTGCTTGCATTTGCTCTGACATCTACCTCACTGCTGTGGTTCTTTCACACATGTGCAGTGTAAGGTTAGCTAATCTGCCCAGTTTAACTGCAAGTAATAGTTTCTGTTTATTCTTGAGGTTCATTTGTATTCCAGGCAGCTCTGTTACTCATGGTAAATACTCAAACCTGGACCTAGATAATGTATTTTACTTCTCTCCACTTACGCCTTTGATCCTCAGTAACAAAAATATTCCAGCTTTGTGCATCTAGTCAATACTGATGTGTGAATCAGTTTGCGTTTCCAAAACTGTGTTGTTTTTGTTGCATTAGTAGCAGAAACAACCTGGTCTCTTTTGACATTCGGTGGGTAAGACTGTCATTTTTATTTAACCTACTTTTTGAACACACACAGCGTTTTAAGTGTTTGTCTAAATTTAATTATTTATGATCAGTCATCTTGCAAACTTTTCTTACAGCTTCCTTTTTACCCATAGGAAGCTCTGTAAGGATCACTTGGTTTAAAAGCCTACCTATGGCATATGTACTGCAATTTTTTCAACAAATTGGAATGGGAATTCCATTCCCAAAAAACTCCAAGTGAAGCCGGGAGGATGTTTAAGGGGAAGGGAGGATTTTGGATGTTGGAGATGTAAGGTGTGAAGAGAAGAGCAGCTCTGAAACTTTTCTCGCTCTTTCCTGCTCAAATGAAATGCAGTCTAACTGATGCAGTCCTCTCTTGGGAATGGTGGGAGAGCAGAATTGAAGGAGTAAAATGCATTGGATCAAGTTCTAGTTCTTCAGTTGCTTTGCTATAGTCAAATTCTCTGGATAGCAGTTCCTTTGTTGAATGATGTTGGGGGTGTTTTTGGAATCCATGCCACTTTCTTTCCTCAGGCTCGTCATAGTACCAAAAGAGGCTGTTGGACCAGACTCTGCTTTGTTTTTCTGGCTGTTTAAGTAACACTGTGCTGGCATTTTTTTCTCGATGCTTTCTTTTGGTTACATGGTTGAATAACTTGGGGTTTTTTTGGTTTTTTTTTGACAGAGAGATTGGGAAGAGAAGTTTTAGAAACACAGTGAGCTTTCAGTGCCTGTACTAATGATTACAGTGCACAGCTGCTTTTTCAGCTGCTTCCTCATCTACTAACAATGCTTCTGCTTGGCAGAGCCCTGATGGTTGATCTTTTCTCCCACAGTAACTTGACTGGTAATGTGGCTGAACTGCCTAACAGAGCCTGACAAGCTGTCCAGATATGTTTGGCCTGCCTTTTCTATAACTAAACACAAAAAAAGCAGGAAGATCATCTCAAACTGTAGGAAAGGCGCTTATAAAAATACATCCAATTCTGATTTGTCACATTTCTATAACGTATTGTAACATGCTTCCAGAAAGAGAATAATTTGAGTAGTGGAGAGGAGACAGTAGATAAAGTAGGGAAGTGATAGCGTGAGCTAGGGGAAGTATATTCTGTTGCCAAGTGCATTTCCCCTAATTCAGGGCGTCTCTACCACAAAAAGAATATTTATTACTGGTGAGAGAATGAGGAAGGGCATAATATTTTGGTTACTTGATTATTTTTACAGGTGTTTTCATTGTCTGATTCTCCGAGTCTCTCATTCAGTGTGATTATTAAGATTTCTGGTCCCTCATAATTTCTGCATGGTGTTCTCTTCTGTGTTTTTGCTCATCTATTTGGATGCAGTAATTATCTTTTTAATTGGGAACATCTTGTATATAGTTAGGAAAATTAAGTGAAGGATAGCATTAGCACATTCATTTAAACTCTATTTTTCCTGGTTAAGTTGCCTATAAAAATAATACTGGTTTCTTTTGATGCATCAGATAGGTAACAGTTCTGCATACTGCCAGATGCCTGCAGCTCAGCAGAACAGTTAGGCTTGTAAATTATAGAAGCTCTTCTCTTGTTTTGGTTTTCATGCCTGCTTTTGCTTGAATGCCGTCTAATTTCCCTTCAAAACTTGGGCTAGACCTACTGTGTTTTTACCTGAAATGACTTTTCTATTTAATGATTACATTCATACTTACAAAATACCATTTTTCCCCGCCGTTCTTGTAAAAAATTGCAAGAAAGCCTGTAGTCATATAGGACGTTTATGCTCATCAGAGAGATGTAAATGTTAAATAGATTGACAACAAGATTTCTTTACAAGACTTGATTGTTGAACCTGATTATCCTAACACACTATTCTAATACAATGTTTATTTAAGCAAAGTTACAGTGATATGAAAGCCGTGGAGCTAGGTGAAGAATTGGAACAAATTGTAGCCATACTGGTTAATGGTGTATTTCTGTCTCTCCATCCGCATTGTTTATCTGACTTTTAAAATATAAACTAACTTTACTAAATGAAACATATGGTGCTGGATAAACTGTTTCTGATTTCATCTCCTTAGCTATTTCACCTGCTGATGTCAATTATGGAGAAACTTTAAGTACACTTCGCTATGCAAATAGAGCCAAAAACATCATCAACAAGCCTACTATTAATGAAGATCCTAACGTCAAACTGATCCGTGAACTGAGAGCTGAAATAGCCCGATTAAAAGCCCTGCTTGCTCAGGGGAATCAGGTTAGCTTTACTTGAAATTTATGTGTAATTTTCCTTGAGTTATAACATCTATTTCTAGAATGTAATGAGATAATTATCTTTCATTATATTGATTTGAGTAAACAAGCTCTATGAGGCTATGAATGAATATTATTTTCCTGATTGAATCAGTTTCCATATGGCCAGTAGATTACCCCTTTTAACATAAGGGGGGAAAAATTGTCATCCCAAAGCTTTTAGCTTTCTGTTAATATAATCAGAGCTTGATTGCAGTGTGCTGTGGAACAGGTAGTCACCACAGCATAAGGAGACTGAGCAGCAGCATATTTCCTGGGTCTAGCCTGATGGACTGGAGAGGTATTTTATCTAGTATTTTAAAAGAAGTAGAAGGTTTAAAGTATTTAAAATGCATAAACAGAAAACCATAGGAGTACGGATAGGTTTGACCAATACATTTTATTTGTGTTTGGTTGCACAGTACGTTAGAAATCACGTGACATGCTAAACATGTAAAAACGTTTTCAGCGGTGGCGTAAGAAAACGTGTCACGCTGTACTTCCCTTTTGTGAGATTCTCTTTCTTGTTCTTCTGTCAGTTTTAGCTGCTATAAACATTTGCTGCGCAAGCTCAGTTAGGCTTAATTTCTCCTGTGTTTCCAGGATGGTGAAACCAAACTAACAATAAACTCAGGCCAGTTGTCTCTTCTAAATAATGTCACCTGGGACTGCTGGATTTCATACTTGAGCAAATAAGATTTGGAAGTATCTGAAATGATACTTCAGATTTATTTCTAGAACTATCTAATTTTATTTTAAATGGGCTATGCAATGTGAAATGTCAATTCGGCATAGACTTTTTTTTAATAGAAGGCTAGTACTTCAGCTGGATTTCACGCTATAAAACATTTGCTGAAAAAGGGGATGGGACCACAGTTGGAAGCAGTAATAGATATTGCATATGATTGAAGCGGAGAGCTTTGCTTTGTTACAAGCAATTAGAAAACGCTTTATGGGGTTGAATTACTCTATTATACTTGTGTTTCTTCCGTATTCTTTAGGAGGGGAAAATTAATCTATTTTCGAAATGCGGTTTGATTTAGAGTTAGCAAAGTAGATGTAACTTGGACCCCTTTGAAGATCTAATGCTTTGACCTAGTTCCAAGCTGTAAAACAGTGGATATCACAAAGTAAATCTGGTTCGGTTGTAGGATGTGATAGATGGCTGTGTGGGAGACAATAAAGAACTTGCTTAAGTTAATTGAATTTGTGATGGTTGGTAAAACAGCAGGTGGTGTTATGTATGCACTGTAGAACATAAATCTCTGTATAATTTCTTTTGTGGTTTTCTTTTATATTGCCAGAATATCGTATTGCAAATGCTTCTGTAGATCACTGAAGATACTGGTTACCAAAATGTAGTGCTGGATTCAGTGTAGAAGGTCACATAACAACGAGTATTGCTTGTGTGTGTGTGTTGTATAGTACTTTTCTAAGGCCAGTTGCCTGAATATATATTTATTAAAGATAAGCAATATACATATCTATTATAGCAAAATGGTTAGCTGTTGATGCATAATAAGTTTTCATGCTTAACAGAAACGTAAAGATAGATGTATCGGGATTTACCCATTCTGAACTTGTGTCTGGTTTCAGTGTCTGCATGTGTGTGACCACGTGCGTACATGGTGAACGAAAATAGTACTCTCAAACCGGTGATTTGTATTCGAAATACTTGCTTTGACAAGATTTAGATTACTCTGATTACAGTATTTCAAGGTAAAATGATGTATATTGGAGTTTGAAATACTTCATCCTAAACAATCAAAAAAGTTGAACGATTGTGGTTCTTTCATTTGATTCTGCCAGAAATTGTTACTTGCTTCCTTCTTTTTTAACTTGACTATGTTTACTGTTTACAATTTTAGATTGCGCTCTTGGATTCTCCAACAGCGTTAAGTATGGAAGAAAAGCTTCAGCAGAATGAAGCAAGGGTGAGTTATAATTTCATGAAACAGTCTTTAAACCAAAAAAAAGGAAAGGATGGGGTCTGGATGCAAGATCGTTGGTAATTTTCAGGTGGTTTTTTGATACACAACTAAATTTTCTCCCACCAAACAGCATTGTCTTGGTGCTTTAAAAAAAAACCCCAAAAAACCCCCAAGCAAAAAAAACCAAACCCAACATTATAATGAAGAACAAAGTATATCTTTGATATTTATATTACAGTTCTAATTAATGTTTGTTCCCAGGCCATCTTGCCTTACTAAAAAAGTATGTTTGTAAACAGAATAGAGAGGGAAAAATCTCTAAATCAGAGCAATCAGTAACCAGTAATCACAGGAACAAAACATTCAATGTGCAGAAAATACAGTAAAAGATTTATATGGAAAATGGTCGACTCTTAACTTGTGGGGTAGATTTCCAGAAAATTTCAGTCTTTAAATCTGCTATGTTCAAATATGTTCAGTACCTAGTTAGCTGTCTCTTTTTGGGGAGGGTCTAAGACCTAGGTGTACTTCATAACGTACCTCACGTCAAGTTCTTTTAATAATCCAGCCCAGTGTAAAGACTGGAAAAAATTCCCAGGCAGTTTAGATATGCTCGTAGGGTCCAAAAGAATATAGATATAATGGCACTCTGACTTCTCTAATTTGCAGTCTTTCATTCTTTATTCTATGTTAATTCTTTTTTTTGTATACTTGCCTTTTTTTAAAGCTACTGCAAACTGTTGTAAAAAATAGTATTACTCAGACTTTGGAAGAGGAGAGAGGAAAGTATTTGGAATCATTCAGTTACATGGCAGCAAATATTTAGTTCTGAATATTGTCAACAAGATGCCAATCAAATGTAGATATGATGCCTTTAAAAACCAGAGGCTTCTCAGCTGGTTTAAACTGTAAGGTTTACACTGGTGCTGCTTAGAGCTTTACAATTAGAGAATGAATGTATTGCTTGGAGAATCCTGTTTTGACCGAAGTAATTGGTACAGTGTCTGTCTGCGCTTTTGAGGATTCCCATTGGTAATACTGAATACTTCATGGCAAAAATGGAAGAAATATGTGTATTGGAACGAACCATAGCTGCAAAGTAGACTCCAGGCTTCTGCATAAGCCAAGTTTGTGTTAGGAATGCATTTTACAACTCTGTAGTAGATGCAGGACTCATTATTGTGTTGTATTCAGTAATTAAAGTAGGAGCTGCATAACTGCAGTATGAGCCTTCAGTTGCAAATTAATTTTATTTTTTTTATTCATACTAGGTTTTTAAAAGGTTTTAGCTGAATCAAAGATGAATGAGAATATTGTTAGTATGTGTAGTATGCTTTTAGTGTTGTGCGCAAACATAAAGCTTTTATTTAAGAGTAGCTGAGTAATATAAACAGCTGACTGTATGCTAATTAGAGTATGTTATTCATGCTCTGACAGTAATCACTGCTTGTCCTGCTCACAAGTGTTGGCCCCTCTGTGTGGGGAGTATATCGAGCATATTTTAATATATTTTGTCAGCCTCATTAGAAGGTTATGTGATTACTATTCATGATAATTACAATAGACATAATTACTAAAAATTCTTAGTAGATATTGCAGTGGTTATAGCTTTTTTATAATTGAATGAGTGCAATAATTAATTTGTTTATACAGATCTAAAGACTTTATCATCATACTTAAATTATCTGAGAAATATATGGTAGCTTTCTTTAATGAGTTGATTTGTCTTTATATAAGAACAATGTTACATGATTTCTGAGGAATGGAAATTATTCTGGTATGGTGAATAGAATTATGATGGACCTCCTTCATGTTTTTCTTTAATCTTTTCAATTATTTTTTGTTTTAACATTCTGATTAGCAGCACTAGGACTGATATGATGCATTGAAAGATGTATTTACTTTTCTCTGTTGAAATCTTGAGATACAGGTAGGGATGAGAGAAGCTTCTTTAGCTGCAAATTAATCAATGGGAACTAATCTGCAAAGACAGCTAGGATGGGAGGCTGTAGGTAGCCAATGTGGGGATGTTTGGAGGACCTGCATTGATAGCCTTTATTTTTTTTTCTGCAGTGGTTTTATATGTAAAGTAATACAGAGATATAGCTCGTTTTTTGGTTTGTATTGATTTTGATTTTTCCCTCCAGATTTCTGCAGTTGAAGTTAATTCAAATAACAGGAGATTGTGTATGGTTTTTAAAAGTCTATGACTTAATTCTTGCATAGAAATCTGGTGATTTTGAAAAATGAAAATGTGTGTGTGTATATGTGTGTATACGTGCATATTTTTTTTTCTGTCTAATGTGATTATGTGCCAAGTGAGCCAGAGCTTTGAGTTGCAGCTGCTTGAAGCATCCTCTATGCAGTGCTTTCTAAAAAGTCCGAAAGGCTCTGAAATGAAGAGAGCCTTTTAACTTTCATACTTTCCATACCAGTAACTTAGGAGATGGACAACTGGATGCATAGGAAAGGCACGACAAAACCTAAGCGTTCATACCCAGCGCTCTCCCTGTCTGTAATGCCTTTGGAAGCAGCTGCCTACTCCTGTGCTGATTTCAACCAAGTGTGTGATTTCTTAGTTGCAGCAAACTTTGCTCTGATTCTCTCCTGAAGGCTGCCTGTCCCGAAGGCTGCTTCTTCCTCTGCACTCCATTCTCTGGATGGTATTTTAGCCTGAACATGCCTACCTGCGCTGTAGGAAAGGAGCTGTCGTCTTGTTACAGCCGAGGGGTCAATCCGTGGCAGTAGACTTTGTAGGACTGATGAAGCACTTGATGGAATTATTCCATTTCTTTAAAAATGCCTGCCATTATTAAAGTGGCTATCCCTGTCCTTTGTTTCATTTTATAAATAAGAATTTTGTGATTTTTCTTTTTGGGAGAGAGGAATTATAGGTATGGCTATTTATTGCAGGAGCAACAGTGCTCTTCTAGGTGTTTAGGTATTAAAGTTCACAAAGAATTGCACAAATATTTAGAGAGAATACTTCTCTGAGAATATGTTCTCAAGGACTTTAGAAGAAATTTGATTTTTTTCCAATATTTGTTTTGTTTTATAGGTACAAGAACTGACCAAAGAGTGGACAAACAAGTGGAATGAAACTCAAGATATTCTGAAAGTAAGGAAAACAAATTTTCAACTTGGCATTTGAACTAGTCTTAGAGTTTTTCCTTCAAAAAAAGTTCCTGTTCTAAGTCACCATCTTTGGCTTCTTTTAGTAGCACAAATTTTTCTCAGTCTTGTTTTGGCTTATTCCAAAGAATTAGTTTCTGAAAGGTTTTAATAGTAAGTATTCAGCCATGGTGGTATTTTTAAAAAAAGATTTAAAATAATTATTAATAAAACTGAGCACAACTATCTCTTTTTTTTTTTTTTTTTTTCACCGTAGTGACCTCAGTGCAAAACAGTTTATCTCTTGCAAATCTTTAAAATACTGTATGTTTTTATTGAGTTGCAAAGTTAAAGAAAACCTGGGGCAAGCATAGGTGGATCCGTCATCCCCTTGGCATTTGTGTTGTATCAACAAGACCTGTAAATAATCACCTTTTATGTTACACTGGGTAATGTAGCAGGTAGATTTTTGCATTGACCTTCAGATTCATGTTTTGGTCAGAAATGGCTTGTAAACTTGAAAAACAACTTTCAATGGGATTTCTGCAGTTGAATCTCCTCCAGTAGGTCTCCATTAAACCAAACAGATGCATCTGATCTAAGTATGCTCTGGAGTCCCAAGCAGAGGGATTTTTGCAACTGGTTCACATAAGCTGGCTTGTGTTGTGCTCTTTATATGACTCCAGACTGCTTCTGGAGCAGTTAAATCCACACAGTGCTGTCCTGCATTTTGTAGACTTAATACAGTTCTAGGGGGGCAACTTGGTGATTTTTCCATACTGTATTTTTTGTGTGATGTAGACTGAGACTTTTGTGTTCTCTGTATGTGTCTTTGTTTTCCTGCCGTTCAGTTGTACTGGTAGGATTTTATGTTGGCATTTGGCTCCTGATTAAGGTGATAGTCTGAGGTGATATTTTAATGGGCTACTTTGATTCCATACAAGTACACATGCGCACATGCACACACATACAAAGTAATAATTCCTACAATTTCTTTTTCATACCATAGAATAACATTTTTTTTTGCCAAATTTTTAAACTATTCTGTGAAATAAAAAAGTTTGGAAAAAAAGCTTAAACTTTCATGACTTGCTGTATACGCTGAGCAGAAATGTGTTTGGAGTGCAATTCAAGCAAGCATTTAGAAGTAATTTTTTAATCCTCCTTATCACTGATCTGAAACTTGGTTTTTGTAGTTGATTATTTTGCTATGCATTGCTTTTTGATTCCTTTAATTTTTTTTAAGTTCACCACCGTGTCTATTATCTGACTTTGAAATAAGTTGAATGGCTCCATGCTTGAAAAATAAAAATAAAGCACAAATAGCATAGAGAACAGAGCAGGGTTGGTAAATGCCTAGCAGATGGCGTGACAGAATGGACTGTTTAATGTCTGTCCAGATACTGAACTGGGAATTACCATTTGCATATTCCTCAGAGATGTTTTGGGTCCAATTTTACATGATTTCTGTGTTTATTTTGTTACTTCGAAGCATCTATATGTACATAGAACTTTATTAATCCTTTCTTTACTCAGATCTGGATGAGGGAGTTGGTTGTCCCATGGAGAATTTGTGAATTTTGGTCAATCGTGAGAGTGAACATGATGTAGCATATGGGAAGTCTTTAAAGCTTAATGTTGGAAATGCACTGATTCTTCCACAGAAATTACAGAATTGTAGGAGGTGTTAACGGAACAGTTCATATAAACAAGGGAAAGCTGCATTTGTTAAATAGCTGAATATAAAAGACTTAAAAACACAGAAGCTGTAATTCTACTCTTTGAGTACGGAGCTTTTGTTAGCTGAATTCATACAGCTTCTGTAGTTTGCAGTTTTACATGCTGATATTTGAGTTCATGAACATAGTTTATATTTCACTTTTGGGTTAAAGTTGATAAAACTTTCTTGGCCCTGAAAATCTGCAGAAGATTTCTTGGTTGTACTGTTTTATTTTACAGCATTTTACTGAAGCTATCCATATTTTTATTCGCTTCTTGTTTAATGATTCCTGAAATCACTGCCAGCATATGAGTGGAAAAGGGCTTTTTGGAAGCTTGCCAGGCTGAGTCGCTGGAAAGAAGGTTTTTAACTATAGAGAGCAGCAGTGTTTCTTGTAATGGACTCCCTATAAGTTCACTACCTTTTTGTTTCATTATTGATGTACCTCCTCTTGCACACAGAGACATTGTTCATTTGTAAAACTAGACTGTCTCGGCACCCTTTGAAAAATGAGACTGTCTTTGTATGTCCACCTGACTGCAGTCATAACTGCAACATTTTCTATGCCATAATCCAGTAATTTTCAGGACATTCTTCATTAAGGTACTTCACATCTGTATTTATGTTTAAAACCTGCATTCCCCCTTGCCTCCCTCTGGGCTTTGCACTCCTAAGATCACAGAATGGTTTGGGTTGGAAGGGACCTTAAAGCTCAGCTAGTTCCAACCCCCCTGCCATGGGCAGGGACACCCTCTACTAGCCCAGGTTGCCCAAAGCCCCATCCAGCCTGGCCTTGAACACTGCCAGGGATGGGGCCTCCACAACCTCTCTGGGCAACCTGCTCCAGTGCCTCACCACCCTCAGAGTGAAGAATTTCTTCCTAATGTCTAATCTAAATCTCCCCTCTTTTAGTTTAAACCCATTACCCCTCATCCTATCACTCTGTGCCCTTGTGAACAGTCCCTCTCCAGCTTTCTTGTGGGCCCCCTTCAGGTACTAGAAGGCTGCAATAAGGTCTCCCCGGAGCCTTCTCTTCTCCAGGCTGAACAATCCCAACTCTCACAGGAGATGTGCTCCAGCCCTCTGATCCCTGGGCTCGCTCCAACAGCTCCATGTCCTTCTTGTACTGAGGACCCCAGAGCTGGAAGCAGTATTCCAGGTGGGGTCTCAGGAGAAAAGATGCCTTTCAGTTCCTGCCCCACAGTGGGCTTGGAGAATTAAAATCCTTTTGCTTTTCAGTCCCTAACACCTTTTGCTCGAAATCTTTTAGGCAGTTGATTTTGAAAATTCATGTAAACAGCTACCTATTACCTATTCATATATGCTTACCAGGTGCAAGTGCACTTGCTAGTAGCTGAATGGGATTTCCTACTCTATTATATGTGGCTATGCATTTTCATACTAGGTTCTGAATATCAGAGTTCATGTGGTTTTGAATTGTTCTCACAGGCTGATGGGAAAAATCTGTTAATGTTTAAATCCAAAATAATTGAAAGGATTTTGTGTAAGCCTTGTAAAATACAGGAAGCTGGATTCACAGGGCATGCTGGGTGTCTTCTACTAGATCAACAGATATTGCTGGAAAAAGTTACCTGCTTCTTACAGAATGCAGTGCTTTCATCAGCCCTGACAAAGAAGTGATGCATACCGTTTTGCAGGGAAGATGTTCCTCAGACTTGTTCACCCTTGCCAGTTATTTTGAACCTTGTTTTAAATTAGACCAGCAACATCTAAATGCTACCTTGAAAATAATTCATAGGGAATGGAAAATACTATCCAGCTAGAAAACACTGAGGAAGAGAGGAGACTGTGTGAAGGCAAGTTTTTGATAAAATGTATTTGCTAGATTAAATTATTTCAGCCGGCACAGTGCCGTGTGTGCAGCTGACACGTGCATCCCAGTATTCTTCCTTATTTCTGCGTATAGCTCTTAGCCCCTTTGACATTTTTCTATGTGGTTCACCCAAACTTATGGCTTTCCATCACAGCGTGCATCTTTAAACTGGGTTTGTTGGACTATCTTGTCTTTAAATGTTGTCAGTTGTGGATTTGGTGCAGAGTCTGTATGACTGGATGCTGTTATCAGCTGTGGACATCTTGTATAATCCTTCACGCATGCTGTTGTCAAGTTGGACGTGTCTTGGACTGGTGATGGTAGTATTGATAGTATGTTCTCTTTCTTTCATGCATCTGGAAGAGAAGCCCTTTTGCAGGGCAACTCTCTGGGTTCCTCTAGAGTCTGAATTACTGTCAACTCACACCTAAAGCCCAAATCCTCCCGTTTCCCTTATGCAAAGATTAGGATATGGTGTACATTGGAGTTTTAAATTTGTGCTACTTCCATGTGAAGTATTCTTGGTGATGTTAATCTGTCTGAAGTGACAAGTGTTATTTCCAATGATAATGTTTCTTTGCCACTTGACACTAACCTCACTAACCAAGTATTAAAATCTGTCCTTTGCCCTTCTTTTTAATGGTAGGGAGGTTTTGCTTAGTGCTTAATGAACTTGATAAATACGTGGAATGATGCTTCAGCATTGGGTAAAATGCTGCATGGAAAAACCAAAGTGATAGTGTTTGATTTGAAGCCCGTAGGCTTTGGCTTATTTCTTCAAATGGCACCAGCTGTAAAAAGAACTGCACTTTACAAAACAGCCCTGCTTTACATTACTTCTCTATTTTCAGGTGTCTTGCAACCTCAGCACTTATTTAACTCTAGGATTTTTGCTTTCATCTCGCTCTCATTGAATCTTTCTGTGGATTTTTTTTTTTCCCCCTTCTGTTAATGTTCTTCCATACACATCCCCAAAAAGAAGAGGAGGAGGGAAGAAGAACTGTTTGCTCTTTTCCTTAGTTTAGTCCTTTTTGTATTGTTCTGTTAAAGATCAGTCCTGGGGTCTGTAATTTCTTTGGATGCTTTCTAAGATGTTAGGGTAACCTATCCAACTTTCGATTTTTCTCTTTCTTTGAGGCTTTAATTGGTACAAAACTTCTTTTGATGTGGCTGCTATGTTTGACTGCATGTGTTTGTCATTCTCCCAGAGATCTTTTTCTTTTAGTGGCATCTTATTTTTGTCATCTTTTTGTGCATGTTCCAATTTCTTTCTGTCACCTTTAGCAGCTTTTATATTAATCTTTTAAAAATGTATACTCCTTTATATAATTCTCTGCTGGTTTTTTTTCTTCCCAACTTTCTTTTAAATTTCTCCTTCTGTTTTACTGTTTGTGTAGAAATTGGTTTGGCTTTTAGCTTTTGCTGCCTTTGATGTATGTCATTTGTACTTAGC